CAGATGGCCCAGGGCTCCAGTCCTGACTTGTGTCCATAGTTATACAGCCTTAGACAATGTAATTTCTCTATGCCTCAGTTGGTCGGCTTGTCAAATTGGGCCACCCTGTATACTAGACAGCTTTGTGCCCTCTTCCAACTGTATTTCTCTCTTCCCTGTCCCATTGGGTGCCCTGGGATGCATCAGGGGGCTCCCTTGCCCTCTGGCTTCCTTGTGGAGAGTCCCAGGAGTCTGGTCTATATGTTATTCAGACTCTTCCCAGTGCAGTTGTACAGTCACTGTACCAAATCTCACCTGTGGAATGAAATTTAAACTTACATCAAAACAGGAGTCTAATTTCTCTCCTCTTGTTCTTTCTAATCATGAAGCCAGATTTCTTACTATTTCCTGAGCATATTCGTATAATTTCTTACTTACTGCTTCTCCTGTCTCCTACCAGGTCCTCTCTTGTGTAACAAAATCCTACCCTTTGTTCAAGACCTAGTCAGGTGCCTCCCAAGCTATTCCCTGTCTAGTCCCAAAAATAGGCTTCGATCTTTTGGAAGCACTCCCACATAGCCATGTGTGATCTCTCTGTTTCCAGCACTCTATCACGCCCTGCCCGTATTAGAATTGCGCTCTCTTTCCCTTATTCTGAGAGTTCTCTGGGGAGCATCTGTGTATTGTTACCCACCCCGTGCCCCTGACATTACTTGTCCACAGAGGCTGTTCAATCAACACTTCCTGAGTGATGTGTGAGGGCTTCACTGGTGGAAGACCAGAAGGTACCCGAAAGGCTGATGACATCTCACATCACGGATTCACTTAAACAGCACTATTTAATGAGCCCTTAGTCTGGGAGTTCTTCAGCAGTATGACTAAATATTGCATTTCTATATAATAGGATCAGGAAATTCATTTTTAATCTTTCTTCTGGATCATTGCCACTTACAGTTCATGACCAAGCATCATCTACAAAGGTTCCCTAGGGTGACCCTGCAAGAGCAAGGATATTCCAGACAGATGGCAGGCTCGGGAGGGGGACAGTGAAGGGAATGTGTAATGGAATTTTCACTCTCTGCCTGCCAGCCTGGGGAAATAGCACATATTCTCAACACTGCTGTCTCTGATTCCCTCTTAATCATGATGAATGAACAATGGGTCTTAGCGGGAACCTCTGCCAAGATGAACTAAATGTGCAGTCTGTCCCGGTACTGCTCCTTGCTTAAGGAAATGCCAAAGAATTAAGGCAGGGTCACTACCTCTAATTTATTGTTCCAGTTTATTTGGGAAGCAAGATCTAAGTCTGCCATCAACAGTGAGGAAGCCCAGAGTAGATTCACCCTTGGACCGCCCTGCCCGATAGCCATTCACACTCTAAAGTATTTCAACTTAATTTGAGGTCACATAGTGTGAGCAGATTCTCCACACTTGAGTTACCCTTTGGTATGAAGTATAGTTATTTAAAGGAATTTTAAGCCAAGGCTAAAACAGCTTACTGAGGACTCTGAACTAAAGCTAGATGTTCTATCTCCCATGGAAGCAAGCTTCAGTGACCACCTGCTGTTGTAACTCCACGGCCTTTGCTTCTTTCCCTCTTCTCAGAAACTCAACCTGGTTTTGGCACCTGGGGTGGTGGTGGTGGTTGCTCTGGGTGGTCTGTGAGATGCAGGTGTCCACTGTGGCTGCTGGTGGTAGCCAGAGTAGGTTGGATCTCCAAACACGCAGCAGTGAAGTACAAAGTATTTGTCCTGCTTTTCTGGAACTTTCATTTGACTGGAATTTAAATGTAGTTCACAAACCTATGACTAGGAAACAAAGACTTAAACTTTCACAGCTTTAGTGTCACTTCAACTACAGATAATCATTTGTTTCTTCTGCTCTTATTTGTTTTCATAACACCATGCTTCACTGGATGGTTGAGAGGATTAGGGAATAGTTCCTTAAAGTTTAAGTTTACATAGAGTAAGGAATAGCACACAAAATATTAAGTACTATCTTTGTATAACATGTATTACTCACTACTCTGTCTCAACCTATTAACTCCTTGAGAGTGGACTCCATATTTAAATCCTTCTTGATTAAAACCAACACGGAACATTAAAAAATCCCTAATTTCTATTGTCTTTAGTATTATCTTATAATGGTATTAAAAGTAATTTCTAATATGAATCACTATAAAGTATCTATCTCTCTTTCTCTTTTTGTTATCCACAAATTTATTGTGACTGCCCCTAAACCCAGGACCAGCCTATTAGGAAGGGAACCATCCACCCTCCAGGCTCACCTGCTAAGAGCATGTGGAGTGGCTAAAGGAGGGTCCTGGTGCCTCTCCTGTGTGATGTGTAAAGGGTTTTTCTTTCCTTTTTTTGTCACAGATGAATGAATATCAACTTTTGCAGCTGCCTTATTTGCCCTGTCCAAAGGAAAGCTATTCTAAATATAGAATCAAAGGGAACAAATGGCATGCTTGACAGACTATTTTGAAGTGCAGGATGTTTGAGAATTTAAAGTTAAAAGTTTGTGATGGAACAAGATGCAAAGCATACAGAGTTTGGAAAGGGTTGGGAGTGAGACTTTTAAACAAAAACCTTAGTTGGTCAAGTTTATGGCTACGTGTCACCTACAGACATTAGGGTAAAATATTAAATTGCCAATATGATACAATTTAAAGTTTCAAAGTTCTACGTGATCCTTCCTATGTGCATCAAAGTCCTCAGTCTCTTTGGGACACAGTTTTATGGGGTCTTAGTTACTTTTCCTATTGCTGAGAGAAAATACCTAACACCCAAAGCTAAAGGAGGAAAGGTTTATTTTGGCTCACAGTTTGCAGAGGTTTCAGTTCATAGTTGGCTGGCTCCAAGGCAGAATGGCATGGCAGAGGGGCATCACAAAAGAAAAGCAATTCATGGCAGGAAGAAGGCAGCAAAGCAACTAGCAGCAAGCAACAGGAAACAATCAGTGACCCTCTTTTTGTCCCTTATATGTTATCCAGACTAACAGGGTTAGGCAGCCTTAATCCTAGCATTATACCATGAATCAATCCCAGTGTCACATCCTTGAAGCCAGCACCACACACTCTAGATCTAGCCACCTCCAAAAAGCCCCACCTATGACTGCAGGAGGTTTTCTTGGGACATTTAGATATAAGCCATGACATTCAGTTTCCAGGATAAACTACAAGCCTTTGAAATTAGGTCAGAAGTAATTTTTCAACTTGTGTGAGAACATCTGGCCCCTGAGGACTCTTGGTATTGCTATGGGGCACACTGAGCACCAGGCCAACCAGGACTTCACCAGCGATTTAACAGCCGAGAGCCTTCACTAGGAGTCTCTGTGGGGCTCCCATTTCCTCTCTCTCTTCTCCACTGTCAGAGTGGACTGATATTGTGTGTGTAAGTCCCTCATGTCCTGTCTATAACCAGAGTCTTTTAGGGGTGTTCTTACATAGAGTTTTAAATAATTATAGATGTAACTATACTGCATATAGTTGTATCTTTTGCTTTTTCATTTCTTTCATGAGTACTTTTGCTCACACGGCATTCATTACTTCTTTTATAATACTTTATCACAAAATGTGTTTACATTTTAAAAGTTAGTGATACAAGCCAGGCGTGGTGGTGCATGCCTATAATCCCAGCACTCGGGTGGCTGAGGCAGGAGGATCGCTGTGTGTTTGAGACCAGCCTGGGCTACATAGTGAGTTCCAGATCAGTCTCAACTACATAGTGAGACCCTGTCTCAAAAAACCAAAAAAAAAAAAAAAAAAAAAAAGAAAAAAAAAAAAAAAAAAAAAAAGAAAAAAAAAAAAAAAAAAAAAAAGAAAAAAAAAAAAAAAAAAAAAAAAAAAAAAGTGATACAGAAGTATAAAAGCAAAAAGTGAAAATGCTCTTCATTTTTATGTCTACACCTAAGAGGTACTACTTCTCTGTACAGATATTCTTCTAGGTTTTTATCTACAAGGTGTGGACATGTGTATTTAAGTGTGGTTACTGCTTCTTTTCATAAAAGGGGCCAGTATAAGGATAAGAGTTGTCACCTTCTTTTTTTTCACTTAACAATGCACCTGGGGCTGTGAGATACAGCAAATAAAACCAGAGAATGGACAATTAAACTTGAATTTCAGATAAACAACATTTTAGTGTATTTCCCAAATACTGAATGAGACATGTTGACACTAAAAGTGACTCATTGTTTATCTAAATTCACATGTAACTGGGTGTCCTGTTCTTTGTGCTAAGAATATGCTTTTATATCTGCATACTTTGGTCCACCTCTATTTGTCTAAGCTGAATAGCACTTCATGTGCTAGAATGTTGCTAGGTGGTGACTCTTGGTGCTACAATTAAGGGTAATTTTTATCTTCTTAGTTCCCTTCATTTATCTTTGTCAGAAATTTTGCTTATAAGAATCTTGTCAGGAGATTCGATCCTCCTAAAAGGCAGAAGCCTTTGTTTCTGCAACCACCGTGCAAAACTTTGATTGGTGGGGTTCAGGAGGCCTGCAAGGGCTGAGATTACTCTGCTTCACAGAGGGAGAAGACTCTCCAGGGCTGTTACAAGAAACAGTGACCCCTGAGCTTGGTGACTTCTTACTCTCTGGTGCCTACGGCTGATGGAAGTGGCAGGCTTCTGGGTGGGTGCCCTGAGGGGCTGTCTAACCCTCTGCCCCCATTTCCCACATGTGGAGTTGACCAGACAGCCTGAGGTGTTCAGGGGACTTTGTGCTTACAGTTTCTTCCGTGGTCCCTGGGAACAGAAGAGTTTCAGAGGATTTTAAGCAGCAACAACAACCGATGATAAATAATACTTTACATATGTCCTTCTTGCCAATGGGCATCTAAGAGTTGTGCACACACTGACTTGCTCAATCCTTACAACAACCCTAGGAAATAGGAGCTGCAATCATCCCAGTTTGCAAAAGAAAGAGAGGAAAAGAGTTAGGGAGGAAAGGTAGTGAGTTTGCACTCCATCATTACAACCGAATATCTGAGAAGTTTGTTCTGTTCGCATATTTTGGAGGCTGAAAACCAGGACCAGGCAGCTCCATGGATTCAGCGTCTGGTGAGGACCTTGTGGCAAGATGGTAAGTGGGCCAAGGCGGCATCACGGCAGTGTGCGTGGCAAGAAGAGGACACACGACAAGGCCAAGGACTTGTGTGTGTGTGGAGGGCGTTGCTCTTTCGTAACATCCTCATGGGAGGCTAACTGGGAATCCTAGCAGCAGGCAGGGACCCCAGAAACCTAGGCTCTTCCACTGGGCCCCCCTCTCAAAAGTCTACCGACCCTCAACATGACCATGCTGGGACCAAGTTTTCTACACGCGAATGCTCGGAGGACGCATTCACGCTATAACTAAACCAGGGCAGTGCAGGCAGGGAGGGAGGAGTGGGAGGAAGGAAGGAAGACCAAAGCAGATGGAGGGAGAGTGAAGGAAAAACTGAAGCCTAGAGAGAGTCAGTAATTTGACACAGCTCGCAGGACGGCTGTGAAGTGGTAGAGCTGAGTTCGGTCCACGCAGCTAACTCCAGAATTCACAGTCCCGAAACACTAGGCTGTGTGTACCTAATGTGAATACTGAAGTTGTTGACCATGTGGTTCATGAAAAGACCACTTTCCATTATTCTGAAATCTCCAGTAAACTCATCCATATGCTCATGAATGACCTACGTTAAGGTTTTGTTTGGTCTAGAAACTACGAAGAGGCTGTTTGTCATTTTGGGCTATAAAGCAAAGAAACAGGAATTCCCAGGTAGCAATGATCACATGAACATAGATATTTAAGACTCGACAGAAATTGTTGGGAAGATGTATATGGGAGATTAATTAATGGTCAATTTGAGTGGAAATGCCCAGCTGAATCGAGTCAGTGTGGTTCTAGGCACAGAAGAGCCACTTAAGGATTGTTGCCAACAGCATAAAAGGAGACTGGGAGGGGAGGATTTCATGCTGTTATTTTCCTGGAGAAGCTTGCTGGCTGGTTTTCCTGATACAAACTTGGCTGTTCTCGCCGGAGGAGCTCGGGTCCTCGCGGTCACTGGGAATAGTTGCTGCTCTCCTCAGGAGAGTTCTGATCTTTGCCTCGAGCATCGGTTCCTGGCCCCAGTGCAGATCCCCCAGACTTCTGGCACAGATCCTTCACCCTGCTGGCACAGACTTTCTACCTCCCACCACTGGCCTCTGGGCCTTCCCAACACAGATCCTTTATATAGACTTGCACGGGTCACCACTGTGGACTCTGGGCCTCCAGCTGGACTCATGGGGGAACTTGCCATGGGATCCAGGTCCTCAGCTGGATTCTTCAGGTCTCTAGCATGGACAGATCTCTTGCACTCTTCTGCATTTGATGTTTAGGGTAATATAAGATAATCTTGTACATTTTTGTGTCCTGTGTTGAATCTGTTCTCTGAGAACATCTGACTCTAGTCAGCACTGACTAGCCCAACATATGGAACAGTCAGGTTTCTACGAGGGAAAGAGGCCACCTTCAGAGGGCTTCACTGAGAAGAGTTCGGGGAAGAGGACAGAGGGCGGGGGCTAAAGGAACCAGCAAAGGAAAGGGAAGTACACAGGGATGGCCAGAGAGAAGGCTTCGCATACCTGTCCTTGAGGTGCAAGGGGCAAGGACTGTGTTTCTGAATGTATAGAAGGCGTGGGATCTTGGAAGAAAGGCCGGCTGCCAAGAACCAAGACTGCAACATGTGCCACTGCTAGAGTCATGTGAGCCAGGGAGGACAAGAGGGAGTAAATCTTCCTTCCTCAACCACTTCAACTTCAAGGAGGGCAGGTTTATTTTGACTCATGGTTTCCGAGGATACAGTCCATGGCTGACTCCAAGGCAGAAGTGGCGTGGTGGAAGAAGGGTGTGGCAGGAAAGCTGCTCCCTCCATAGCAGCCAGGAAGCGGAGAGCAAGGGAGGAGCTGAGGGAAAGACACACCCTTCCAGGAGATTTCCCCCAGCGACCACCTTCAACCAAGCCCCATCTTCTGAGCTCTCATCAGTGGATGAACCCACCAATGTGTGTACCAGCTCCAGACTGGGTAGGCACCTCAGATCCAAACCATGACAGGGCTCAGATGTTCTTAGACTTCACAAAAGTCCAGACGTCTCCCGGGGAAGACAAAACCCTAATTGGGATGCACCTGGCCTCCCCAAGAGCCCGACAACATCCTGAGACCTCTCTTCAAACTGTTACCACCTCTGTGCCTGCCCTGGTCAGCCTGCCAATCCCAAGGTGAGGCTAGAAACACCTGGCTTCCTGCAGCCTGTTGCTCAGCATCACTTGTCCCCAGTGTCCACCTTCTTCTGGCCCAGGCTCAGCATCAGAAAGCTCTTCCCACCCACACCCAGGAGTCCCAGAGAGTGATGCCACAGCCTGTTTCTGAGCGCCAGCCAGTGTCCTGCAGGCAACACGTTGCTGATGCCAGGGAAGCTAAAGGTATATGGGGTATGGTCTAAAACCGTGGGCAGTGTTTACATTGTCTACAAATTCACGGCAATAAAAGATATACTGCCTTTAACTCTGCCCCAGGATGGTCTCCCTCACCTCAGAGCCACTCATCCCACCCTACTTGCTCTTCCCAAGGCCGTCCTGGAAGTCTCTTCGGCGCCTTTAGTTATCCCGGTGCCCTGTGTCAACTCAAAACGTTGACCTTTCATGGTTGTTTTGATTTGGGGGAAGAACAAGAAGTCACCCGGTGCCAGATCTGCTGCGAAAGGTGGACGAGGACACTGATGTTTGCGTGAGCCTGCATTCCTGCTGGGCGGCCCTCGGCGGCAGCATTCGCTGTATACTTTTTAAACCCACCTCATGAAATCACTCACGAAAGCGGACTCCAGAACTGCTTCAGAAAGTGGAGACAATGGTGGGGTAAGTGTGTTTGAAGCCAGGGGAGGCGTTTGGAAGGGTATTAGGGGCTATGTGTCTGTTACTGTAATAACTTATAAAAATTTAAGCATTTGCCCTATATTGGACCATCCTGTATATAATGTTGCTTTTCATTTTAGCGTGTCATCTGATTGGCCGTCTTAAGTGAAGTCTTTGTGGGAACCGTGAGTATTCTTACGTGTCACTAAGTTTTAGACAAAGAGAAAGCAGGGGGTTATTTTCAGAATCAATTCCATCTGCTCAGGCCTTTGCTTATGATCTTCAGTGTCCAACGAGACCTAATTATTTGGACTTCATTAACACCTTTTAAATCAGAATTTCTACCTCTCAGAACAGGGTCCTGTGGAACTGGCCATAATACAATGTGACTGCCATCTTGTGGTTTTTGACTGCTCTGCAAACCTGAGAGTAGAAAATAGGGTTTTTAGGAAGTAATGGTTGTTAAAGGCATACCAATTCATTTTTAAGAAGTTATTTTACCAGAAAAATGTCAGGCCTATGTTGGACATTTGTCAGTGCAGTGAGAGAGAATGATTTGCTCCTGAGGACGGAGGCGTGGATGGTTAGAGGACTGTGTCGGTGTGGGGTGAGCAGAGCAGGTTCGATCTGGATTCCTATAATGGTACTGGAGTCTCGTGGCATTGCAGCAAGGCAGTGTTTTGCTTGACTCTGATTTTAGCTTCTGTCCGATGTGATGCTCCATGATTTGTGGTATAATATGGTCCTGCAATCTGTAGATTATCTTTGAAACATATGTCTTTTTTCATAGGAGGGCTTTGGGCCTTCATGCTAGGGAGCTCTTGCCTGTTTAAATCCCTTTGCTTCTCAGTGTTCCCTATTATCTTTGTGTTGTTCTGTGATTACCTTAATGCCAGTGTTGTTTGACTACTTCACAGTGAGCTGATCACCTCACAGTTTTGTCTCCCAGGCCCAGTGACCTCCCAGCACACAGAAGGGGGACGGCAGAGGGTCATCTCTGACAGGGAAGCCCGAGTCAGGCATGAGGGGGTGAGATGTTCTGAAAATACTGTCCCACTGAAAACCATCACACACAGGGTAAATTCTAGCAAACATACTTTTAAGTGCATTCCTGAGATTCCAAGTTAAAGGGATCCCCATGGAAAAATATTTTTAAAATAAGAACAAACCCAAGACCTGTCCTGGGGGCCAATGCAAAGTCAGCTGGTTGTGTGAGTTCCTTGCTTATGCCTCATGTAGGACAGTGTCTGAACATAGAAAAATGTCAGTAAATGTAGGAATTGCAGGGCCCCGATGTGCTCTCCCTCCAGTGTGATTATTTTGTGCCAGCACAGCTGTGGAGGAGAATCAAAGTATACCCATGATGCAATCATCCCAGATTCATGCTATGGACTCAGTCCTGTCATTTGTTTTGTCTTAGAAATCCCAACTGCATGAGTCTCCTTGATATTCATTGAAAACAAAGCATCCGACGCTACAGCCCAGACTAAGCCCAAGTCTTGATCATTTTTTCTCTTCACTGGGACAAAATGTTCACCTTCATGACTTAAAGGAGGAGAGGTTTATTTGGGGTCCCATCTTTAGTCCATACTTGTCTGGCTCCAAGGTAACATGGCAGAAAGGCCTGGTGGAAAAAGCTGCTTGAATCATGGTGGCCAGGCAGTAGATAGAGAAAAGAGGAGCCAGAGTGAGAGAGAGAGAGAGAGAGAGAGAGAGAGAGAGAGAGAGAGAGAGAGAGAGAGAGAGA